GCCGAGCTGAGAGCCTGAGCCAAAGGAGCCCGAGCCAAAAGAGCTGGAGCCAGAACCGCAGCCAGGAGGAAAGGGCCTGCCTCTTGTAGGCAGGGTCAGTACCTTGAGTTGATTACTTAATTAGTTCATTATCTTCAACTCAATCCAGCTGGGCAATAATGACTGGATGCCATAGGTGATTAAGAACTAAAAGATATGAAAATGAAAGTAAAAAGATTTAGGCAGAATTATAGCTATATCATCTTTGGTATGTTAGCAGTAAGAGATTTATCATTAATGGAAGCAATGAGGGGTGCATTTCCAAGCACGCTAGGAGTGTCTACAACAGACCTACTACTGACATCATGTCAGCATTTCTAAAAGTAGCAATAAATAAATAAATTTACTCTATTTTTTTATTTCCTTTCTTTTGAAGTTTGTCTTAAACTCATTATACATATGGATAACATAGCACTGAAATTGTCCAAATCACAGATCAGTTCACTGTGCAATTCACCAGTTCCTCTTACCAACTTGGTAAATGGCCCTGAAGCTAGCCCTTTGCACAGAAGCATCAGATTTGAACTTGATCCAGAGACTGTTGCTGGTAGAAGTGATTGGAGACATGAGTGTACTACGACAGAATTTGCTAATAAGGGAAGACATCTCACTGTCACCATCTCGAACCTAGTAATTGAAAAGAAAAAAAGAAAAATGTCAGATCATAAAAGCTATGGGATCCGATATTCGGATAAGATTATAAACTAACAAGAGCTGCAAAATAACAAAAGGATCAACTATTTTACTTTTTTATAAGAGGGGCAAAGAGCCATCACAGTAATTGGCACAAGCACATGATTTGCAAGAGCTCAAAGGAAGGATCGGATGATCAGCACAGAGGACACACACATGCTACTGTCATAGGATATTAGGATGAAACAGATCTTCTCTATGAACCACAACTTTAGTACAGTTCGGGCCTATGTTTCCAAAAGTGACACTTTTAGTATAAAAGAGCCAGGTAAGGTGCTCATCAGGTCCAGTGCATGATAATGACAATGAAACTGTATCAGGGAATCACTTCCAGCTTTTACCTTCTGCACTGCCACTCTGCTGACCTCAATCACTTTGCTAATCAAGGAAGAAATGTATCATATGTGTTTTCCCAGAAGCTGATTATAAATCCTGATTATCAAGGGGACTAAAAAAAAATAATTGCACCTCCAAACTTCAGGCCCTGAATCCACAGTTGGTGGGTAAGAATAGGTGCATCCAGAGGACCAGGCAGAGCACTGGTATGGCCAAGGAGCTCTGAACACCCTCTGAGGTGCCCAAATGGGCAATCAACAAGCCGAGGTCCAAAAAACAGGTCTCCTACTATTTGTCCAGGCAAAAAATGACATTTGTCTCCCAAAGAGCCTCCTAAAAAAAACACATCAGCTCTTTTCTGCTATAGTAGTGGTGGTAGCTCATGCAGATGGAGCTGCTTTTAAGTGTACCTATATACAGTCAATCCCAAAAAATCATCCCATTGGCAAAGCCAGGGACATCCAGCTTTCAGGTCCGCTCTCAACACCTCTTCTTTCCTCCTCAGCTGTCTTCCTCCAGGGACTGGGAGAGAAGGCAGGGAAACCTTGTCAGTGCCCTGATGAGCAGGCAGTGGCTGGCCTGCTAGCCCAGCTTTGGCAGTCTCCAGCTGGTGAGATGGCTTTCTGACTAACAGATATTTTTAATTTCCCTGGGACTTGAGTTTAAGCTGACAGAATTATTCTCAATTTACAGCAGACCAACTGAGACCGGAATTTGTGCCAGAAAATCTTTGGACAGCAGTGAAAGTTTCCAGAAGTTTAGTTCACAGGAGTTTACATTTTTTCTTGTGCTGATTCTCCTTACATTTTTGGTTTATAAATCCCAGTGAGTAGTGATAAAAATAACAGGATCTTGAAACCGTGTGAGTAACGTCTCCTATTGCCAGTTAGAAGGATGGCAAAGAGAAGGAACTGCCTTGGCTAACACTTTACCTCTGCAGCACCATGTCACAGTCTGTCTTGAATAATAACTTTTATTGTCTCTAGCTTCTTATTGCAGACCCCTGGTCCCAGGCTGTTCCTTCCTCAGTAAGAGACTAAACATCCCTCCCCGAGCAAGTGCCTGTGAGCTGTGTCTGGCCCCTGTTGAAAGTCTGCAGGTTTCCTGGTATTGCCCAGAATGGGAATAATCTGCTCCTTTTCAAAGCAACAAAACAATTGTCAGAGAGTGACTTTTAAAGTAACTTAAACACCCAAAAGCTATCTCCCTGGCTGAACTTCATTATAAACCCAGTGGGACAGTGTTTTAGAAAAGCATATGTGGAAAATCAGGCCTTGATAAAAGAGCACAGTGCTTTAGTTGAACCAACTGTCCCAGTCAGAAAATGTCGGTCCTGTTTCTCTGCCCTGGGCTGAGCCATCAAGTGAGAGGGCAGGAAGAGGAGGAGGACAGAAACACAGGGAAAGGGAAAGGCTCGTGACTGATCGGCAAACAACGAGGCAAATGCCTTGCTGAACTAATACAAACTGATCGCGTTCAACAGAAATGGTTTTGTTTCTCTGGCGGCTGTGAATTTAGCTGCTGTTCTGCCAGCAATTAGGCAAGAGGAGTACCAGGCCAAGCAAACAAAAGCTGTCTGTTTTCATTAAACACACTTCCCCTCTCATTTCAGAAATTAATTACACTTCATTCCAGCTAAAGTCTCTGAATTAGAGGAGGAGGGAAGGGAACGATGTCAGCACAATAACATCTTTTAAAAACAGATTAACTGCACGGACCTCACAGGGGCCCATTCTCCGCTTGGCCAAGAAGCGATCGAGCACAGACCCAAACCCCACTGCCACAGAACGGCACGGCTGGCGGTGCGGGACCCAGCTCTGCACCGGGGCTGCAGGTCGCTCCCACCGCCTTCAGCTGTGGGAGCACCTCTGCTAATGGACCGGGAAAATTAAGAAGTGGTACCTAGCATACTTAAAAGGCACCATATAGTAGTAAATTTGGACATAACATGGAGCTGCAGACCAGAGAAGAAATATCTTCTTAGATATAAAGAAATATCTTTAGCAAATACAAAAATAACCTCAAGTGGATCCTAGATAGCATCGATATTAATATTGTATTATTATTATTATTATATTTTCCATATAGAAGCGTTCTAACTGTAGTATTATTTTTTCTATAATAATCAGATTTTGACTAATAACAATTCTTGAATTAGACTTCTAAGATTTCAATTATACTAGCAATAAACTCCTGGGACCTCATTAATGTTTATAAATACGTAAAGGGTGACTGTCATGAGGATGGAACCAGGCTCTTCTCACTGGTATCCAATGATAGGACAAGGGGAAATGGATATAAGATGGAACATAGGAGGTTCCACTTAAACATGAGGAAGAATTTCTTCGCAGTAAGGGCAACAGAACACTGGAACAGGCTGCCCAGAGAGGTTGTGGAGTCTCCTTCTCTGGAGATGTTCAAAACCCGCCTGGACGCGTTCTTGTGTGATCTGATCCAGGTGGTCCTGCTCCGGCAGGGGGATTGGACTAGATGATCCTTTGAGGTCCTTTCCAATCCCTAACATTCTGTGATTCTGTGATGTATGTATGTATATATGTATGTGTACATAAAATATATATATGGTCTGCTTCCTTTTTGCACTTAAACAAGATTTTCAGTATAACACCATGAGTCCAGAAAATCCTGCATAGTGGCTGTGGCATTCTCTCTTTTTTTCTTACCTTTGGCACGCAGTTACCAAAGGTCCAAACTCCACTGTAATCATAGAATCATAGAATGGTTAAAGTTGGAAGGAACGTCAAAGGATCATCTAGTTTCAACATCCCTTCCGTTAAGCTAGACAGATTTTCTTATTCTCTTATCTTTGCTTCATTTCAAATGTACAGTTCTGTTCTTTTAGCCCATGTGACTTTTGGACCACAATAAATTGGTATACTTGGTCCTTTGATTAACATCTATTTCTGCAGTGGCCCTTGGGACAGAAATTATGCAGCATGGTTTCATACACACATGTAATCAACCTTCCATATCAACTGCTTAAGAGAAGTCACCTCAATATAATTCGATGAACAACCAGTGTCACTCTCCAGCTCCATGTGGGTGAAGCTGAGGTATATTTTTTCATCTTCTGGCTGTCTGATAATGTAGATACACTGTCGGTTGTTGATATAAGGGTTGGGCCAGAAAGGGGACATGATAACCCCTTCACTATCCGTGTAATTTCCTCCACAACTTGGATCTGCTATATTAGGAAAAAAAAAAATATTAGTTGAGATTCTCGCAAGTATGGTAACGCAGTTCAGGCTGCCTCTGCACAACGACTGCAAATCAAAAAGGTTTTCTGTATTATTAAATAGCAAGCATTAATTACGTCTGTTTGTATGCTGTTGGCTGTATCTTGGGAACATAACAGACCAACATTTAATGCTGAATTTTACTTACCAGGAGATGTTGTATAGAGGATGTGGAAGCCTTTATCAGTAACTAAGTTATCAGAGTGAAAGTGAATCCATGCATACGGACCAGTGGTTTGGAGTGGGGGTGGAGATCTAGTGCTGCAGTATTTACCAAGGATGGGGTCTTGTGGAAGAAGACCATCTCGAATCTAGACAGAATAGCGTTTAGAATTATTAGATGCATGACAAACGTGAACAGTACCAACACTCTTAAAGTTATCTTGGGGGCCCCAGGAGGTGTTGTAGATGGTGGGTGGAGTGAAAGCTCATAGGAACACACAGGAACTAAGAAACAGACCCACCAACATAGCTGTGATGGTGCTCCTAGGAGAGTCATCAAGAGTTTTATGAAAGGGAAAGAAAGCATCAGGAGATCTACTGTTGAACAGTTTTCCTGAAATCATGCTCTACATTGCACGATTTTGGAGAACATGCTATTTCAAAGTATCTTCTTCTTTCCCTGACTGGGTATTGGTGAATTCTGTAACCATTATTTGCACTTGAAAAGCTCACACATCAAGTCATGGACTGTACTATAATATGAGCCTATTAATCTTAGATTCCTTCCCTAACAATTTTCCTTAGGCTGATTAATTCTCTGTGGGTTGACATTTGATGAAGAGTTTGGAGACTGAACTTTGTAAGAAAGTGAAAGCTTCCCACCAGGTGTTTGGCCTGAATCTCGTCTCGTTAGTCATAAAACTTCCACTGACTACAGTGGAGTGGGATATCATCCTCTTTCTGTTATATTGTCTGTATCTGAGTGTGCATTGATAGCTGGAATAAGTAAGTACAAATAAGCATTTCAACCCAGGATTTAGTTTTCAAACAATGTCTTTCTGTATGTACAAAAAGTTTTGAAATATCTTCTTTTGTAATCACATAGCCATAAATTTTGCCGTAATCTACAATTAAACTTTACCTCTAAATGGTCATAACTGCAATTTTCATGATGTTCTAGGCTTAGTGTGCCAAAAGCAAATGTGATGAGGAGGCCAGGACTGGTTGAGATGGTCCAGGAACAGTCTCTATTTACAGGATAGTTACCAGGGTATCCTGGAGAGCTTATAGAGCCGTAAGTACCCTTCAGCTCACCACCGCATTCTAACAGAAAAGAAACATGGAAGAACACAGTCTTTAACACTACATGTCGGGTTGGAAGATGAATTCTGTAGTGTCAAAACTAGGTACCACTTTGGAATCCAGAATAAATTAAAAAACAAAGAGCAAACCAAACAAACCAACAAGTTACTAATTTCTTTACATTTTACAATTAATTCTGCAATTCAATTTTAAAAGTAGAACTCCAAATATTTCCTAATTTGCATGGTAAAAGAAAGATTCTTTCCCAGTTATGATGAAAATATCTTTAGGAGAATGATCAAAAGCACTGTGTTTTGGATTAGATATACAAAATTAATCTGAATTTCTGTACTTTGTAAACAGTATCCATGCACGAGACTGTTTTATTTTTTTTTAAAAAAAAAATGTTAATTACAGGGAAGGCTGTTTTATATACCTGTAATAAAAAAAAAATCCCTCTCAGCATAACAGTTGGGAGTGGTAGGGTTAACTTGTGTGTTATACCTAAAGAATAGCTAGTTAATCACATCTATAACTCTCTCCCACTTTTTTGGGTTTTTTTTTTTCCTCCAAAAAGATCTGGTTTCACTTTTCAGTATCTGTATTTATCAATTAGTAATTATGTATGTAATAATGTCAATTGAAAGAAAAAAAACACACAAAAACCCCCACATTAAAAGCATTTCAATAAATATTTCTGGAAATACATAAATCATTTCCCTCATGAATTTTCTATACTTTTTATACCCCATGGTTCTTTCAAGGCACAATCCAATGCACCTTTTTGTTTCTAGGCAATACACACAACACTGAAATGAGCTTGATGTTGCACAAGATGATTTGGGGTTTATCTCTAGAAATGCACTGCCTCCTGGAAGAGTCACACAAGTGGTGTTACCAAGAATTCAGGTAGAAAGGCACAGCAAATCATGCCAAAAAGCTCACAGATTATTTAAAATCAAATTCCCAGCAAGCTATCATATTTGGAAAGCACGGATCAACCTCTTCAGTCTTCCACAAATTGTCAGTGGCAAAAAAGAGCAACTTGCCTGCTCAAAGTACTAGATATTTCTGTGAGGAAAGAGAACTAATCAGAACAACAACATCTCCAGTAACATATGCTCTTTGGGTGATTCCTCATAGGATGCATAAAGCAGCCTTCAAAACCATCAGAAGGTTATTCTTGCAGAGGCCTAGTGTTGGAGTTTAAATATTTGAAAATTACATGTATTTCTACATTTCAGTCTCATTCTCTAGTAAAATGCTCTCCTACTGGTCCTAATGTTTCCTAATCAAAGGAAACGTCATTCATTTTGCTCCAAAGCCATGAAGATGCTAAATTACATGACGTTTCATCAAACTTACCAGGATCCCGAGATTCCCACTGAACAGTAAAACCTCCAGCCGTAATGTCGTGGTTTGAGTAGAACCAAAAATACAGGGAGTTGTGGGAACTGAAAAGCTCTGTAGGAGGTGAGGAGCCACAGTATTTTCCCAGCATATGCATTGATGCTGAAAGCCCATCATGGATTTGAAGGAAGTGAGAGTTACAGTCATTACTTGTCTCCAACCGGAAGAATGGGAACATAATACGCAGGATCTAATAGGAAGTAGCAAAATAAGAAATAACTTTTTTTTTCCATCTGCTGAGACAGTGTAGTAACTCTGCGTACAGCAGATGTGTTTGTTCATGCAGCTGTGAGAATCTACAAGTTTTGGAGTCATTACGCCATTTCCTGAAAAGTTCCAGGACAGAAGATGTTACTGAATCTTAAGGGACAAAAGGAAAGAGAAGATAAATAAGGAAGAATCTGGACAGGGAAGTTGTCTGGAAAGAACATTATTTCTATAAACCAATAATTGAGACTATTTGCCTGTGTCTGTTATGTATGTGAAATATATGGATGTATATATTTCAAGCCATGTGGAAACACTTTATTCCAGGTTCCCCACGGCAGTTTTCTCATCAGATAATTAACATTTCTCACCCTTGCTATGGTTGAAAGTACTGTCAGAGTTAAAATAATGAAACATTCTTTCTTTGCACACATAAAACCAGTGTCTCATAAGCCCACTCTAGATACTTAGTGACATACACAGCTTTATATACTTTCAGATTCCTCACTGATGTGCTTTAGTATAGCTCTGCTGAAGACAGTAGTGGCTATCAGGCTTAAAGCTGAGGATATGTCACATGTATGTATAATGCTGTGTAAGCCACTAGTAACCACCGTTTTATAAAACTACTTAATTAACTCCATTAAATGTCAAAAATAGATCAAATATTTAGATCCCAAGTAAGAAGTCAATAAGTAAGAAGCTAAAGTGTGAAGTATCATATTTTTAGTTGTTATTTATAACACAAGTGGAATTGTTAGTTGCAGATCAGAATCAGAATATACATTTGAGTGCAACATTTAAAACTTAATACTTAGAAAAATTCAAATGTTGTTATTACACAAAACTATTGCCAACATGAATTCAGCATTCCACATTTCTGGTGCTCAGAAATCAGAAACACAAAATTATTCTGGAGTCACTTAGCTCACAAACCAACTGTGAAGCCCGTCAGAGCAGAGCTTTTCTCATGCAGCTATTCACAGATCAATTGATAAAGCAACATTAAAAAGGCATCTTCTCTAGGTGGTGGTAGGGGAATAAATTCTAACCCTCAGCTGCATAGGAAAAACCTTGAAAACGTAACCCAGGCAAATTCTTAGGCTAAGGAGCCTGAAGGCTTGTAAGGATCTGAAACTGACTCTTTTTGAAAATCTATTTATTCTAAGGGGATTAGACAACAGTATTGGAATATGCGGCATGAAGATGGTCACATTTGCTCTGATGGGCTGAGGGCTTCTGCAGAGTGAGAGTTTGTTTAACTCGAACTCTATTTTACCTTGTTGGGATTAGTGTGGATAACCCAAGCACAGCTGACTTCACTGTTGTACCGCTGGCTGTTTGGGTTGTTAGGGTAACTGAAAGTCCCGCTGGAGCCTGAGAGATATCCTCCACAAACTGCAGAAAGAGAGAGAAAATTAAATGGATTCTATTGTGTTATCACCATACAAGCTTAAACAAAATCTAACTTTCTTGCATAGCTGTGGCTTCCTAAACATTTAAAACAAGGGTGAAAGACACTTCTATAAAAGACTCCTCAGGATTTCCTCTGAAGTGGAATGACATCACAAAAAATGAGCAAAATTTCTCCCTGAGAGAAAAGTAATTCCTGGAAAAAGTACAAAGATTTTCACCTGGAATATACGGATACTGCCAAAAGATGATTCTGCATCAGGAAAATGTCCATAAACTAGTTTGTTTCCAGAAGACTACCTCCAGAATGAATCTTTAAATTTTGCTCTTAAGATGAAGTAACATTTTGAAGCTAATGTGATATAAAATTGTATTTCTCAGTAGTGGTGCATCAGAGAAGTTACACTTCAGATGTTTTATTGTCCCATTTATTCTTTTTGGTCAGATTTCTGGGCCTGAGAATACCTCTCATGATATACTGTAGTTTCTTCTCTCACTGATCCATTCAATGAACGGGAGCTGTGAACTGGAAATCCCAAACAGCTTTAGAAATATATGTCCACACAGATCCAAAATGCAATGCACACATAGCTACAGTGTACAACAAGCTTGTTTAGTTTAACACTGAACTGACAGAAATACTAAATTCTCAGCAAACTGAAATGAAGCATTTTGTTTCAAGGAGTGGTAAAAAGAATATAATTTTGTTTGAAGTGTCCATCTAAAATATCTCACCATTTCTCAACCAGATTCAGAATTATCATGTCATAAAATGTACTATTTTTTCCTTGATTAGGAACTAAAACAAAAGTTGATACATGATATTTATAATTTCTCACTGGATAAAACCTGGGTTTCTATCCTTTCTATTATGAATGGTTAAAAACAATATTTTTTTCACATATGCTTAATAATAAAACATCTCTGGTTAGACATTTAAGGAAAATTGGAAAGAGCCTGAAGTAGCTCTAAAACAGAGCAGATTTCACAGGGCTCAGTGAAAGTTTTACATTCTGTATTCTGTGAAAAGTTAATCTGCTTTCTTCACAGCAACCCACAATAAATATGAGCCATCTGACAGGTGGTTGCCACAGGGACATTCACTGGAATGCTATCCTGACCTCGTTTAATTAAAATTAATGGCAAAAAAAATCCCAAAGAAACAGAAAAAGTTATATTAAGAAGAAATGTTAAAGGCAGGACCTTGCAGTCACTCTATAAAACTCAGAATCCACCATTTTCATGGATAACATTTCTTTCATTAAATTTCTCTTTGAAAAGCTTTCTGGCTTTTCTTCTTGACCGAAAACGTCAGGACCTCTCAGCTTTGCAACAAATGAAACAGTGTGCACGAAAGAGAAACATTAATATATTCTCTCGTAAATCTGTTCTTCTTATGTTGGATCCTCTTTCCCAACCAGTTTACCAGACCACTTTCTCAGGAACAGAGATCTGATTTTAGCCTGTCTGGTGTCTAGTCCAGGCCAGCGGGTCTGCAGATCAACCTCATTGTTACGTTCCTATTGCTAAACAAAGCAGCTATAAACAAAACTCGTGGAAAACTCTGACTCTGAGAGACTTTGAGTCGCAACCTGTAATCCACCAAGAAGGTTTTTTTTTTTCTCGTCACAACTTGGTTCTTATTCGCCTATTAATCATATACACCAAGCATCTACTTGCTGAAGCCTGGTGGCCCATTTCTGCTGGGGAGGAGGTCCCAGCCATACCTTGCTGGGCAGTCTGGCACTGTGGTCCTGTCCAGGCGCTGGTGCACTCACAGGAGTAGCCATTGACCCCATCGGTGCAGCTGCCCCCATTCTGGCACGGGTTGCTAACGCATTCGTCAATGTCCTCCGTACAATTAGGGCCTGTCCAGCCCGCGTTACACAGGCAGAAATAGCCAGAGATCATTGCCTATAGGTGTAAGCAAATGCAATAAACTTAATGAGCATGGATCACTTTAAATAATCAATGTTGCCAGTAGGAAGACTGATATTTACACTTGTTTTATGGGGAGATATCAGAGCAAAGAAATAAAACATTTGGAATTTAAGGCATTATTGGTCACTGGTGAATATCAAAATAAATCCAAAGCCTGATAAGACTATCTAGCTCTTTGCTTCTTCTACGAAGTTATTTCCTTGCAGAGCTCTTTCGAATTACTTTCTAGAAAGTAAAAATCTGTATTAATTTAGCCATTCATAAAACCGTTTGCTTGGCTTTGAAATGTCAATCCTAAAAACAAGTCAATCATGTTATCTAAATCTTATAAATAGCAAGTCAAGATAACAGTGGTTTATAAATCATTTCTCTCAAGCCTGCTCTCTGGGAAGTCTGCGCTACAGTTACGTAGGCTGTTAACTTTCATTCTCACCCTGAGGGATGTTAAATGGGAACAATCTCATTGCCTTCTCTCCATTATTCCTTATTCTGTACATGTCTTTTCCATTTCTATTGTCTCAACCTTTACTGCTCTTTATAATATCTTTAGAATATCTCTTTAAGTCTTTCCATATCTCTAGCTTTTAATTTCTTATGTCCTCTTTCCTTGTATTTCTTGTTTTATAGACACGCTTTTTTCCGGTAGAGCAGAACATGGTATTCCAAGGTACATGCTAACAATCCCATCTTTGATGGCATACAATCGGTGGACTGTATTATCTATTTCCTTTCGCATTCTTCGTTCATATCCTCTGTGTCCTGAACAGAGATTTTCAGTATGATGGAAGAGGATTTTGAGATGTATTTAGGACTCAGACTGCGGCTTTAGAAGACGAAAAGGTGTTTTCTGATCTGCATTGCCCGATATTTAATTAACATTACATTTCAGCTGTCATTACCGTGGCCAAATATAGCTCTGCTGTTCCTCTATTTTATTAGATGCTTCTGTAGTCCCATTACTGAAGTATCTGACTGTGTTATTATCTTTAAGTAGTAGCTTGTAGCCATGGTTGCCTATGGCTGTCTGTTAGGATATATTTAGGGGAAGACGTCATACCTTTTAATAGAATGACTTAAATACTTTCTGAATAGTCAGAAAAAGTAGATTAGCTCTGGGCACAAAAGGCCTTTTAAATACCTGAGTGAAAAGACAATGGAAGAGAGAGCAAGGAATGCTGGTAAAAGGTGGAATGGAGGTGAGGGTATCATCTCCTTTCACACAGAAAATGAGAAAAGGTATAGGTAACGTATCATAGAATCATTTAGGTCGGAAAAGACCCTTAAGATCATTGAATCCAACCATTAACCTAACACTACCAAGTCCATATCATATGTCCCATTTTCACCCTACCTCCTAGGATTATCAAAAGGAGTATATCCACAGAGTTGACTGGAACAACAAATTTACCATTTACAAACATTTATTCAAAACTATAATCATAATATCCTCCACAATGGAATTATCAAAATCCTGAGGTCTGCAGCATGGACCTTCCTGAGCACATCACATCTTATTGAGGAAGCCAAAAGACCTTCAGAGGGTCCATGCGGACAAACTAAATGGTCACTGTGCATGAGAATGAATTTACACCACCAATCAGAAAAGGTCCAAAACACTCAGCTACCAGCAGGAGTACAATCAGTTCCCATGAAGCTCCCTTTCCATATCCATATAAACAGCCTGAGACTCCAGGGGGGCTTTCACAGGATCAGCCTAGGAATCCATAACTAACTGTACTGGATATTAGCAGTCTGAAGGTCAGAAGAGGTACTGTTTTTATTATCATGGGTAATTGCTCCATGATCCAGAGTAGTAAATTATTTACCTATCACATGAGGGACAGCCATTCATCAGTTCTGCTCTACCAGCACCAGCATCCCATCGCTAGCTTGGGGTACAAGCTCAGGTTATTAGGGCCAAGATTGCTGTCCCTCTACTTCAAACACAAATAAATGGCTTGTGTGCCCTGAAACTCTCTTTGTTTTCCCCAGGAACATTTGTTGATCTCCCACTCCCCACTGACCTTGCCTCATTACCTCTAGTATGGCTGCACTCAGCTTTCAATCTCACCTGTCTCCCTGTTGTTACTGGTTATAACTACACAAAGTTGTCAGGAATTGCGAGGAATCCAGCACTTACCAAGCACTGCCCATTTGCACAAGGGTTTTGCAGCTGACAGATATCACTGAGAGGAGAGCACCCATTTGGCCCATATCCACTTCCAGTGTACCCAGATGTGCAGGAACAAAATGGCATTTGCCCTTGGGAAATTTAACAAGATAGAGAAAGTAATTTGGTCCTCGTTACAATGACAATACCAACCATGACAGTAAAGGTCCTTGGCATTTTGAAGCAGAGCCTTTATATAATTCTAACTTCTTTGATCTTTTGATACCTTCCCTGGTCAGTGTCCAGTCTGACCATGGAAAGATTGCTAGTGTAGCTTTGCTATGGGTACCTGAGAGCCCAGGATTACATTCATGGGAAGTGGTAGGAGCAGTCAAAGGATATTTAGGGAAAGGAGAAGAAAGTAAAAGCAGTTGTGAAACTGGGAACTTTCCCCAGTTGAAATTGGAAAACTGCATCAAAGACAAATGATGAAGATCTCCACGTTTTTATGATGAAATCTGCTCTTTGGTAGAGCCTAAATCTATTTCTGTCAGTGTTTGTGGGAACGCCTGCTGGCGTTAGCTAACCTGCCTGCAAAGTCCTTTGGGTGAGCCAAAACTGACTGTGGAGAAGGGGCTGCAATATAAAGATGTTGTCACAAAGTAGATTCAGCCTAATCAAACCCTACTTGAGATTCACACTTATTACTTACAGCCCTTAAGAGAGCACCATACCTGGAGCTGAGGTACAATTAGCCAAGGGATGGCACCCTCCATTATTTATTGAGCAGATATCATCCTGGGTACATGTTTGCCCATCTCCCTTGTAACCTGTTCAGAAGTAAATCTTAGTTAGTCTATAACAGACTACGCTCTCTAAGTATCAGCAGCAAAACAATCATTTGGTGAGAAAAAAAAAACAAACAACTGATTTACGGTATAAAATCATAGTCTTCTGCAGTCAAAAAGAAAAAGTTGACATCGCCACTGGAGCATATCCTGGCATATTTATTGTGGTTCCTACACTGCAGGGATGGATTCTGATCTTAACTAAATCCTCCCATGATTTTAGAAAAAAGGTGTATTAGTATTACCCAAATATGAGTGAGGTCAGAGTGAAGCCAAAGAAGCTCAGCTCTCAGCCACCATGTGTTGCCCTCCCTATGCTTCTGCACCCAGCCAGCCTTGACCACCTCCGGACTTCCTTCTGCACACCAGAGCTGCCCTTGGGTCTCAAACACAACATCCAGCTCCTCTCGGGAGGATCAGCAGGACCAAAGCGCTGCAGCACAACTCTGCATGGCCAGAGCTGAGGTCCACTGCATCGCGTCAAAACTCGTCTAAGGCTGCGTTTCCAGCGTGGTGATAGCCCTTTGGCGCTCAGTAACTGAGACCCTTTGCTATCTGCAGTCTATTGCCATTTAATAGCACTTGGAAGGTCAATTAGAAATGCTTTTTCCCACTAGTATTTCTAGGATTAATAACATCATTTCATAAAGCATTGTAAATCATAAACCACAAATTATAAAGATACAAGTCGCAACTTCCAGTGCTTGACCTGTACTGCAATGGAAACACTGCCTTCTTAGACAGCATTTGGAGCATGACAAACAATTATCCAGGCTTTTTTTAAGACAGAGAATACAGCTGATTTTTGGCACACACAATAGTCTTTCAATTAATATAGACAATGAAATTACTATCATAATTACGCAATCCTCGTTTCCTCTTAATGACCTTGTAAGGGAAGTACTTTGCCAAATCATGGCTCTAACACTGAGAAGGGCTACCTAGTACAAGAGAAATACATTTCAGAGGATCATCATTGGAGACATACTCTACAAAATGTTCGTTAATAGCTGAAGTAGTATACTTGGACTCTGCATTCTATATTGCAGTATTGCTTTGTATATGTGATACTTCTATATAAAAAAACAATCTTCGGCTTCTTAAGTCTACCATATAACAGGCTCAAATGTGTTGAATCTTCATCTTTTAAGCCTTTCTATAGTTTTATCAACAAAAAATCCATTTTACCTGGTGGACAGAGCCCGCAGTGGAAGGATCCCATTGTGTTGATACATCGAACCATCGGCGCTGTTGAGCAGCCTCCATTATTACTTTCACATTCATCAATGTCTTGGCAACTGTAGCCATTTCCTTGCCAGCCTAAAAAGAAGCACAGGAGAGACATTAAGATAGCAAATGCCTGGCCTTTTTTTTTCTTCTTTGAGCAGATCTTTTCATAGAGCAGAAAAATATGACTTTTGCACTTCATTTCATTAACACAAGAGAAGACCTGTCCCTGTCATAACCAATGAAAATTAATACTAGTCTGCAAAATAGGTTACAAACATAACAGAGTGGAGATGTGTGTGTAGGAATGTTTTATTTTAATTGTATTCTGGATATTTCAGAATCAAACACATTGTAACCGAAAGAGGAGGCAGTTTAGTGCACACATGTACAAGTTGCAGCAAAGCTTTATCAGAACTCGAGTTAAATACTTCAAATACTCCTCCTATACACACTACCTGAGGAAGAGGAACCATAGGTTATATGGCTTGAGGGGACAATGAGATTTTTATATTGCTTTAAGGCAGTAAACATATAGACAGGAAGGTGCCTCAGACCTATTATATGAAGGTAATAGGACCTGATGGACATGAAGGTACCTCAGATCTGTTTAGATGCTCAGTTTAGGATGGAATAAATCATGCATTAGACTCCATTGCCTATGTTACCTAGGTAAGACGAACTGCAGGCATTTATTCTCTAGAATACAGACAAAAGCATTTCATGGAGTTACTCTTATCTGGATTCTGTGTCTGTGCTTATGACATGCAGGCAGTACTACCTTCTGCCACCCCCTCCCACGTGCGCGCACGGAAGGGCGTGATACCTGTGGGGCAGGGACCACACGAGTAGGAGCCTGGTGTGTTGTAGCACTGCACAAGCGGATTCTGTGAACACGGGCGGTTAGGGAGGCTGCATTCATCTATATCAGCACTGCAGGCAGGGCTGCCAGGAGGGGACATCCAGCCAGTGTCACAGGTACAGCGATACTTGGGCTGCCACAGCAAACATCACATTACATATTTAAGACAGAATACTCAAGAAAAGGGCAGGAGGAGATCATTTTATAAAATGTGCTTTAAACTATAGGCATGGAAGCTTTCAGAACACTACATGGTTTGCACATTCTGTTTTATAAAGTGATTCAGTAGTTCTGAATTTAGCTATTTAGATTATGGAAGCAACAACAGGCTCATTCATTATATTTATAAAAGAAACTTGTAATTTACCCCAAAGCTCCTGGAGAAAATGAATAACAATGATGATCTGTACATAAGCCTAATTAAAAGTCATCAACTTGCTTTGTAACCAGGGTAAACAGATCAGTGTAAGCAACCTGAAATCAGCTTGGCTGTTTTCTTTTAATCAAACTGTTCTATAATCTGTGCAACATGCAGCACTGATGTTAAATTGCAAATATAAATTTTCTTTGAGGAAAACAGTTTTCTCTGTTGTAAACTTTACTAATGGCCAGATTTCAGCACTTATCTAGATTTGGTCCAATTAAAGCTAATGGGAGCTTTGTTGTCGAGTGTCACAGGAGCAGACACTGTTAAGCCAACACTGAACCCTTTTGAAAAGCTTTCTCCACAAAAAATGGGCAGAAAGTAAGTGATGAGTTGTGAAAACTTTCACAAATTGAGCAAGGAAATTATTTTATAGCATAGCACAAAGAATATATGGTGTGTCTGGATTGGTGCATGGGTGTACAGCAATAATAAGGAGCCCAGGCTTGGCAGGGTATTTTTGGAGGGCTGCTCTGAGTGGAAAGAGCCAAAGTTGGCATGTTGCATATGTCCCTTTAGAGTGAACACCCTGTACCCAGATTTTCTCCCAAAAAGAATGAGCTAGCTTGCTCCAGAAGACTGTCCAAGTGTATGCTAGCATCCACCCAGTGCAGGCACTTGGAGAGCATCTGGAGTTGGAGACCAAGTCCAAATGACAGTGAGGAGCACTAAAGACGAGCAGCAGCCACCCCAGCTCTGTGCAGCCCTGGCAGCTGCCAGGTCACCAACAATGACGTCCCACAGGTATGCCTTTTCCCAGGAAAAACAAGATTCATGATGTTTGTCCTTCATAATCATTTAAGTACTAAAATATTCTAGCAACTTAGAACTCCCCAAATAATGAACAGTAAAAACATAATGTTTCGAATAAGACTTTGATTTATTCAGACAATATTCCCAAGCTTCCTATGGTTGTAGTAGTAAATCTCATACTGTGACAAGCAACTCTAACAAGACATAAGGCTTTTTCAATTCTTTCTGCTGTCCTTGGGACTACAGAGAGTTTAGGTTATGTTGTACAGCGGCATTTCTTGCTGTTTTTCAGCAGGTGTGTGTGCTCAGCATTATTTCTTGCTTATTCAGGCCATGCTGTATAATGAGACTTACGTGTTGTTCCTTACCTTGTTGGGCTGATCCCTGTCTGCATCTATGCAGATGCCATGTCCACAGAGTGTCTCAGATGCTCCCTGGCAGTCATCAAACTTTGAGGCACAGTGAGGCCCGTAAGTTTCTGGAGTACAGGAGCAGCTAATGGTGAAAGCAGACAGAAAAATCAAATTGTTGTCTTTATATAGCACTTGAAGATCATATATTGCCATAGAAAGAGACCATTCCCTACTCTTTCAATTATGTGGTGTTCCATATGAAATCCTTCTATTTACCTATACTGACAAACCCATTAATAATCATGCACAGACATAAGGCTCCTATTCAGCAGAGACTCAAAAATCATGTGGGACTTGTACATATCCATGACTGTTTGACCCAGTAGGAGAATCCATAGGTTTCTGTTACATTCAAAAGTGCAAATGCAGAAAAAAAAGAAATGTCTAATATGAGACTTCAGCAGAGTATGAGTTTGGAAATCCCCACTTCAATCACAGAGCTCCTAAACCTTGTGTTTCATTTTATGACTCTCATATGATGCCAAGTGCCTAAAACCCTACCTCTAGCAATAGGCACAAATGCCATGCCTGGCATGTCCCAGGGAGCGGGATACCTTCACACCCACTCCTCCACATGCGGCAGCTGCTGTCTCATAAGAGTGTGGAGGGCAGAAGGAGGCATTTCACCCTTCACCTGGGTTGGGCCAATCCTAGGCACAAATACAAACTGGGCACAGAGTGGGTTGAGAGTAGCCCTGAAGAAAAGGATTTGGGGGTGTTTATAGATGAGAAGCTCAACATGAGCCAGCAGTGCGCTCATGCGGCCCAGAAGGCCAACCGCATCCTGGGATGTATCAAGAGAAGCGTGGTCAGCAGGTCAAGAGAGGTGATTCTCCCCCTCCACTCTGCTCTTGTGAGACCCCACCTCAAATACTGCATCCAGTTCTGGTGTCCTCACCATAAGAGAGACCTAGATTTGTTGGAGCATGTTCAGAGGAGGGCCACAAAGATGATCCAAGGGCTGGAGCACCTCTGCTATGAGGACAGGTTGCGGGAGCTGGGATTGTTCAGCCTTGAAAAGAGAAGACTTCGGGGGGACCGAATAGCTGCCTTCCAATACCTGAAGGGAACCTACAGGAAGGCTGGGGAGGGACTTTTTACAAGAGTGTCCACTGATAGGACAAGGGGAAATGGGTTTAAGTTGAAGGAGAACAGATTTGGATTAGATCTTAAGAAGAAATTCTTCAGTACGAGGGTGGTAAGACTTTGGAATAAATTGCCCAGAGAAGTTGTGGATGCCCCCTCCCTGGAGGTGTTCACGGCCAGGCTGGACGGAGCCTTGAGTAACCTGATCTAGTTGAGAGGCGTCCCTGCCCATGACAGGGAGGTTGGATTAGATGATCTCTAAGGTCCCTTCCAGCCTATGCCATTCTATGATTCTATGATTTGGGGCTTATGGGGTGGGAAGAACAGTGTAGTGGGCTGAAGGGAGGCATTGTACACAGGGAATCTGGCTTGCAGGCTGCCAGCTGCATCATGTTGTTATTTATAGGGCACACCTTAGTCACAGCACTGTACATACGTGGTGGAATTGAAATTGGGAACTTCTAAGCCGTCACGTAACGTTTCCCTTTTCTCTGACTCTTTATTTCCACATAGGCCAAATCTGAGGCTCTGAAATACGACTGAAAGGGACCTAAACCTACAGAAAGCCTCCTATCAGTTCACTAGCTTTTTATTAAAACGACAGTGAGACATTTATTTGGGTGCAAGTTATATGCTGCGGTCTGCTGATGTCTGCTCCTCACAGAAACATTAGGCAGGTACACACCCCTGTTGAATTGCTTTTAAGCTGGCTAACTAAAACTACTCTGTAAAAACATTTATCTGCAAAATTTGAATCAGGGTTTTCCACTGCAGATAATCTGGACCTTGGAGAAAGATATTAATAAACTGCCACTGTTCCTGCCAGGGTGTCACATGATCAGTTGAAATAGCAGTTTGATAAGCCAATTGCAGGTAACTGAACACTGCACCCAGGACGAGCAACCTGGATGAACTTAGGTTTAAAAACCCCACAATAGCTTAATGCTTAACTGCAGTCTGCAGTACTGTGAGACAGCATGTTCACTATTGCAAGAGAGGGCAGGTAGACTAACATCACCTTGCCAGTGTAGTAGCTCAGCCTGAGCAAGCACAGAGACAACGGGTCAGGCAACCAGATCACCTTCGTCTGTTCAAAGTACATTCAGAGCTTCATGTTAAACTCCAAAGGACACAGCAAGGCAATCTAACTGGCTCCAAAGGAGGAGGACAACAGCATTGTCTTCTGCCTGGTCTGGCAAAGATTAATCTGCTACTCATCTGAAGTTGCTCAGAGAACAGCTTCAAGAAGTATGTCACACTGCAAGGAGCTTCAGCCAAATTGCAACACATTGCTGCTCGGCACTGCCACGGCTCTCCCATCACCGATAGCACATCCTGATGAGGCTTTTGTTATTTTGGTTCTGACACGAAAGTCTGGTAGACTTGGTGACTCTCACAGCCTTTCATCCAACTAATGCAATGTCCCATTAAGGTCCTGATTCAGGAAGGAATTTCCTGAATACTTGCTCGTTTTCCTCATACGTTAATGCTTTCTTGAATTACAGTCTGAAGCATGCAGGTAAAGAATCTCAACAGGGAGTGAAGACTGGGTTATGCTCTGTTTCACAGTACCTGATCCAGTACTGCCCTTCACCTGGGGTTATCACTGCTGGCTATGGAAAGTTAAATATCCCCATTTTCTTTACCTACAGTCCACACTAGTGCATATAACTAACTACACCAGAGTAGGAGTGAGGTGACCTGCGTTGCTGGGCCTCAGAAAAATTAGCAGCAATGTTCTCACAGTTGTTGAAAAGAGTCATGTCGTGCTCCACCTGGGGATGGATTTCGCATCTGGGGAGTACTCAAAAGACAGACAGTATGTGAAGGGAAAGGGAAACTGTGAAGACAGTACAATGGGGTTGGAGAAAGGACTAAATAATCCCTCAATGCTCAATAATCCTGAGGGCATAATGCAAAAGCAGTAATATTAAGATTTGGATGGCTTATGAAGAGGTCTTATTTCATTTCAGGAAGCACTGATGCAGCCCATACCAAGAAGGGCAAGAATTACATTGGGAAACACACTTACAGGAGCCTTGACTGTACTAACACAACGACATCACCTGTGAGAAGGGCAGAATGTTTGTCCTCCCAAACATTAACTTAGTCACACACCTGCACGCCACATCGCTGAGCACAGTAACAAACAACCAAGTAAAGGCAGGCTGCTTCGTGTGTCGTTACCTTGACAAATGTCTGTGTTGGGGACAGCCGCAGGCAAGCCAGAAACATCCTTTAAAATTAGAGAAAAGCTGACAGCAAGCGTCACGTATCAGTGACACCTCAGCAGGCTCTGTGTCAATGCCGAAGTGTGAGCAGCACTGCAGGAGAACTTCCCTTGTATGCAGTTCTTGCAAGAACTGATGAAGCACTATAAGCCAGTGTTACGCCAAGCAAGTATTTGTGGGGGCTAAGATTTTCATGTTGAAGCAGAAGACAAAATGCTTTGCAGAAAGCTGTGGCATGCTCTCTAGCCTGCTTGTTCCCAGCGCACAGGCAGAGCTTTGTAGTACATCTGAAAGTTATTTATTTACCAGATTACTTGACATTTTGGAAAACAAGACGCAGAACATTCAGGCTGGCTTGCCCAATAAACAAGAGCATGTTTCCTAAGGAGCTGGGCACAGCCAGAGAAGGATGTGCTCCAGGGACCTTGTGCCTAGTGGGGCCCGCAGACAGGCAGCCCAAACACCCTCCTGGCTCGCTGCCAGCGAACAGCATTTCTCCTCCCTTTCTGCCTGGCAGCACTGTGCGTTGCTGGCTCTGCCACAGTCTCTGCAGTGCCTGCATTTCTGGGGGGGCTGAAGGCATTTCTCAGAGTTATTCTGTGTGCTGGGAATGTCAGTGATCAAGGGTGCCCATATATTCGGGAGGTTTCCAACAACTTAAATTCTTTACTGGGCCAAAGCTCTGCTCCTGCTCACCTCCTCCATCTCCTCTCTCCTTTGGTCTCAAGCAGTACATGGTAAAAGAGGGACGATAACGTGGCTGTGGTAGGTGGGCACGTTGGCGAGTGCTGGTTACAGACCAGCATGCCGCACCTCACCGCCCCTTCGGAACACTATAGTGCTGTACATTTCCATTAAAGCATCTGCACCTACAACAGAGAGCCAGGTCACCAGAGCCAGTCTCCCGTTTGCAGCCTCCTTCCCCAGCACGGCTGTGTGATAATCCTCGTTGTTGCTGCTCTTCTTGCGTCAAAGCAGGCAACAGCTTCGGAGGGCCCTCTGTGTCTGCAGTGGGCTCGGTGAACAGTGTATTAAGGATTTTATATTGTCTCAGACCGCAAGGGATTATAGTGCATAGATACTGAACAGACTTATTCCTGGAACTTGTGCTGCAGGTGTGAGATGGAGTACAAAAATAGCAGAGTATTTTACATAGGATTTTTGTGTATAGTTTTGAAAACTTACCTGTAGCTGCCTGGTGTGTTCACACAAGTGGCTCCATTCTGGCAGCCTAACGCTGTTCCAGCATAAATCTGGCATTCATTAACATCCACTGAACACAGGAGGCCCTAAGACGAAATGGAAAACCAGTTTATTTTCCAAATAACAGAGAAATGAAGCAAACCAGGGAGCCAATGTTTAATATATTTTCCAAAGATATACAAACCATAGGCCACTATCATAACAGCTTCCCTTGTGAAACATTACAAGAAAACTATTTTTCAGCTGTGTTTCTTTGACCTTGGTTATCAGTCAGATGGGAGATAAAATATTTCAGGTGTTTGTAGAAAGCATATGGACAGCATAGTACTGTCACACACACCTTCCACCCCTTACTTTCCAACTTGCTAGCAAAAGGCTCAGAAAACTTTCTTTCATACTGCCTCTATCAGGAAATGCTGTTTTATTAAGACTGAAAGCACAGCAATTTTGACCTAAATCTTGCAGGGACAACTTTCAAGTTGAGAGCTTTTGAGAAGAAGATACAACTTTTTCACCTCCACTGCATATAGCGGCACCATTAAAGTCTTTCCTAGTAAAGTCTTTGGATTTGAAAAACTCAGAATGGGATTGATTACTTACTTGTTTGAGCTTGAATAAACATCCTTCCATTCCCCCATTCTCTCCCTACCCTTGTGTAAGATCAACAGCAAGGCATGCAGTTCACTTCATAGCTCAGCAAAGCTCAAAGACCGACTCTGCCGTGGGAACTGCCCACCATCACTGACTTCAGGGGCCATCGCCTGTGTATGACAGTGTGGGGCCTGGCCCAATGGTTTGGGCTTTGCTTTTTTGGTGTATATTGGTACTGTTGAGAAGCAAATGTGTTGCCCTTCAACCAAAGGATGAGCATGATACTGCTGCTTTGCTGTTTAGTATATCTCACTCTGTCCTGAGCAACCTTAAAATTCTGCGCTTCGTCACAATTACACTAAGCCAGGTGTATCCTTACAGTTAAATACACGCTCCATATTCCAGGAGGTTGAAGACTCACCTGCCAGCTGCTGGGACAGAGGCAAAAGAAGCCATCCAGTGAGTTCACACAGGTCCCTGAGTTCTCACAGGGGTTACTACTGCAGGCTTTTCCCTGGACGGCCTGAAACCCAGGAAAAGAGCAGAAAAATTAGGTTCCCTCTTATTTGATGTTTCATTAACATTTATTTTCAAGACAAACCTTTTTTTCTTTTTTTTTTTTTCATTCTTTCTTGTGTGTGTCTGTCCTGCCCCATTTTTTTTTTTTTTTTAGCAAGGTTTGCTAAAAAAAGGTTTGCTGATTTGTAAAGGTTTTGAGCTGTTTTGCTTATCCCTGTACAAAATAATGACTGACATGATTGGTCTTAGACAGGATGGCTGGCTGCAAGCACTAGGATGAGAAAATCTCTGTAAGAAATAAATATTAATAGAGGCTCTTTGACATCAGACTGTGAGTCTAGATGAAGACTTGTCTTCTCTATTTCATGAGTGACTTATCTGACAACTGCTTTTACAGGCAGCTGTAGCTGTGTCTTGTCACAAGCTCAGTGGAGAAGCAGGTGACAGTTGAAAATTAGCTATTTCCAGTATAATATAAAATCCAGTTTGAATTCTCCAGTCTTTGTCTTGACAGATCAGTGAAGGAAAAGTTTACTTCTCCTCGGTATCTAGTTGTTGTTCTTCAATCTATAACTGTTTTTCCTTTAAGGAATGCAGGCTCCTACATAGTTTATATTTTGTAAGAGGCATTTCACCTCCTCTACAAATCTTGTCTTTTTTTAACCTCCTGTTACCAAAAAAAGTTTTCCTGAGTAACATATGAGAGGAAAGAAATAATTTAGCTATTTAATCATTGTAACCCCGCTTTATTTACTTGGGGCTGGGTTTCTCTTTTCAGATCTCTGGTTTGCCTCCCTTTTTTACTCACCTGCTCTAAGCTTTGAAGCTTGCTGTCAAGACTCATGATCTGCAAGAGAAACGCAAATTATATTGTGCTTGGTATGAGAGTGATCACAGCGGTCGGTGCTGGATGTTGGTAGGCTAACAAAATATTTTCTTCTGAGAAAAGAGAATAGCTGGTATGTGAAACCAGGAGACACTCAGGTCAAATCAGGCCCAATTCACTGGGATTTCAGTGGTTTAGGCTGTTCAGAAAGTGACAACTTAACTATGTCCCAGTTTGGCTCTGAAAAGCAAGACCCAGTCTTGTGAAGATGTATTCAGGTGCTCAACATTGAGAATGTGAATTTTCCAACAGGACTGTTTGGATGCTCATGCGCACACGAAGGAGGGAGGCCTGAGACAGTACACTGAAAGCCAAGAGAAGGTTCACGGTATCTCAGTGGGTTATAACCACAAACAGCAAAAACTGAAACAGGGAATACGATGGATACGTATCAGTTTCCCTAAAGGGAGGTCTCTTAAGCTATAAAGTATTTTCCTATAAAGAACTTTTGGCAACTCTGTAACAGAAGACACTTAAGTCAAATGTTTCAACATCTTCTGTTGGAGAAAAATCTTTATTAGCAGGGAAGAGACAAAACTACTGCACGGGTCTTTTCTTTTCACTGCAAATCCCTATAGCCCATTTCACCTATGGAACGGAAAGTCTGTGTAACACCTATAAGAACATATATGGTCTATTTCCTGAATTTAGTGGGATTTCACTTCCATAAATATTAGAGGATATAGTTCGTAGAGATGTTGACAGTGAACAAAAGAATCATCCTGCTAACTGGAAAATATGAGATTTACAGGAATACTTCCATTGTCTCCAGAATTACTGAATAAGTATCAACATTAAACATAGACTCTGAGCTGATGTTAAATACGGACTCTGCTCCAGTTTGCTGAATTGGAGTCCAGAAATACTAAAATGAATCAGATAACAATGTTAATCTGAGGAATGGAAAACTGGGCATGCTGGAGGAGGATAACACAAGGGTACGACTCACCTTGGAGGTCAGCAGAGCAACATGCTGGGACACGTTCTGAGAGGCACCATTGGCCTTTTTAAGTTCTTGAATCTCTGCGTTACTTTCTCTCACCTAAATTTAAACACAGAGATAACGTGAAACAAGCTTGACTTGTTAAAAAGCTTAGAAATGTAAACAAGCTTTGTTTTTTCAAAAGCTTAGGAAAGTTTTGTTCTTGCTTAACTTTCCTATAATAAGTCCACTTAAATACAGAGCTCTGTAACGTACACAATTTAATCTCTTAATTATTTTCTGTAATGGCATGATTACTTTATGAGTCTGCAATAGTTACTTTCATAATACAGCGCTAACACAGAGAATATAAAACAACAATCAAACAAAACACATCAAACATTTGCTAAGACAAATTCAGAAGACAACAGAACTATTAATGTGCAAAACTGCAAATGAAAACATATTAAGGAAAAGTAACTATATCACCTGACTAAAAAGTTCTGCAAGGTCTTCTTCATTAATTTTTATTTTCCCCAGTGGTCCAGTTCTAAATTCAATATTTTTGCTGGAGCCAGTGCGGAACACTAAATTACCCTGCTCCGAAGACAAACGAGGCCTGTTGTATTATGGAAAAAACAAAGAGATCATTTAGTTACACATATCTGCCAAAGAATATGTAAAAAAGAGCTGCAGTAAAGCCATTCTGTTCCCGTTACTGGCACTTAGAAGCCACCATATGAACAAATGCCTTTGCAGACAATGGTACTTACTGCTCATCATAAACGGTTCTTTTCTGTCTTTTTTTTTCATAGTGGTTTGATTCACAGCTCAATCCAGTAAGTAATAATAATGCAACTAAAAGCCCAGGAGCAGGAGCAGCCCAAAGCATTGCTCTCCTCCAGCTGTCCCGCGTTTGAAGTGAAACCTCCAGCACTGAATTGTGCTGTCGAGAGCCCAGGTGCCCTTTGCTCTCTGGCAGCTCTTTATTCACAGGGTGCCCATGCTGCTGTCTTGTCTTACAGGGGTAAACTTTATCCCAGGTGTCTTAATTAAAGATTGACAGCGTGCAAACCATCTGGACATTGGACGCATTTTTCTCTTTTTGTCTTTTAGTTTCAGGAGCTTTGAAATATCATTAATTGAAATCTGCCTGTATTTTCTCATTATCTCTTTGACCTTCGTACGGCTGAGCACCCCTGTGTCTCAGGGCACCTGGTAATCTGCAGCTGGCTACTGCGGCAAGGGCTCACTCTCCCCACACGCTGCACCACGTGGGTGAAGGAAAGATCATTTGGCAGCACTAAAGGACCTGGATGGTTACCCAAAAAAATCCCAAACCCCACATATAAAACCCACAGTGGTTGGCAAGTAATATTTGTATTGAAATAGAAGGTTCCAGCCAGTAATTTATTGAGCAGATGACACAAAGAAGTTAGCAGTACCAAACAGCATCCCATGGATTACAACAGCAAAATACAATTTTAACCAAATATGGTTGCTCTGACTCAAGGATGTCTCAGTCCCCAGATGCTGGGGAGATGATCACACACCAAGGAGACCGCATTTTGCTTGGCATGTGTAGGCTGTCTTCATTGCACACAGTAGGGCTCCCAAATACAGGGCCAGCCATAGAAAATGCAGAAGACCAAGGAAGAATTCAAAGGAGGCTCGAAAGTAATCAAAAATGCAAATTATATGTTCTAAGAGCCAAAATTTGAATCTTGACCCCATTTTTCTCTACCCTTCAGCAGTACCTCCTAGACTTCCCAAAAGAAGTGTCCCATCCAGATGCTTGTTGCTACTTGTCTCCGAGGCCCAGGCTGCTGCTGCTGGAAGCCATGGCAGACTTTACATCCCACCTCCCCTTTCCTCTTGCCAGTCTCCGTATTCCCCTTGCACAAGAACTTGCTGTGCTTTCCTTGCTTAGGGGGGCTTTGTGTATCTTTTCCTTCCTCATGCTAGGAGCTACCTGAACCTCCAGGCCACCACCATTCATTTTGATTTTCCTTTTTGCTTAGTAGACAACTCATTCAGGTTGCTCACATTTCAAAACTCTACTGAGAAGAAAAGAGTAGCAACAGTTGTAACTGCTCTTGCTCTAAGACAATAGCAGCTACCATTCACTGATCATTTAAACCCCAGACCTTCATAGAGGCAACAGAGCTCCTGCACTTCCTAACCCTACCCAGCCTTCCTTTTTGCTCCAGTTTGTACTTGTCACCTACAGATGTCCCACAGATACGCAGGACACCATCTGGAGCTGGGGGATTGAATGAACTCTACAGCTTTCACAGACAGAAACGTTACGAGGTTGAAGCACCCTGGGAAGAGACCAGATGTGGCGACAAAAAAATATTGTCACCTCAAAAAGAGACAGAGGTGGGCTGCGAAAGTGAGTGTGAAGCCAGGACAGCTATGTTTCTGGTGCTGTCACCAATGACTTAACCCTTACTGTGAATAACTATAATGTCAGAGATTGTATCAGCTGCATCCCACCAGCTCCACTATTTTCTGTTGTTTGCATAAAACTTAAATTTTTATTACATTTTATTATGTGTATTTTAGAAACTTATCTCAGAATTCAGAACAGTGTGAGCTTGCTGACCATTCTTCTGTGCTCACACAAACTGTAAGGCAGGTAACCCAACAGTTACTGCTGCTGCCTAGAGATCTGGAAGGGCAGAGGTGAAGCTCCTCCGGAACCCACAGGAGACAGCCCATCGCCTCTGCTTCCTGCAGCAGTAGCAGCAGCTCACTCTGGGTATTCACCAGCTCCGCAGCAGCCTGTGACCTCCAGGAGACTGAGTCTATCAGCTGTTGCTGCCAGAACAGAGGAATATAATGAGGAATCCCCCTGTGTGTTGTCCTTCACCATAGTAGGGGATAGTGTTTATGCAAAAACACAGAATTGCATTCTCATTTGTTGAAGACTATCACTGCTCCATTCAATACAAATGAGCTACGGTATTCTACACCAACTGAGGATGTGTCCTCACACATTTTTTTTATTTCCTATTCTGCTCTTTGCTTGGAAACCTCTGTTCTGGAATAGGAGACCATAGATGAATTATCGATGTCTCTGTCTAATCAACAGGACACCTTCTGCCTCTGGGTATCCTGGTACTGTCCATTAAACTAGCACTCACTAACATTCTTCATGTCAGTTCTGATGTCTGTCTCAGTTCTTTTGCACTTTTTGTTTTGCTTTGTTTTTTGATTTAACAGTTTACTGAGTTTTTATAACTGTCAGTTAGGTGTCAACTTGAAGAAATCATAGGCCAACTAAACCCATACTTCTAGCACGCTGGTTGAACGTATGCATACTTTGAGGACTTTCTTTCACAAAGTCCATTGTAAGCTGACAGTTTTCAGCCTGGACTTTGGCTGTTACCCACAAAATCCTTCCTTTTCTCTACTCATTTCTTTTGCACACTGAGTACACATTGCTCCTCTCTGCTGCCTGTCAATCTTTGATTCAAACTTCCCTTTCCAACTAATTAACTCCAATATACCCAATGACCAATGAGCAATAAACCATAGAAAGAAAACTCCGAATGAAAGGAGGAAGAATAAATTAGTCTCTTTGCCTTCTCTTCATGCAGGCTTCATAGCTTAGAAAACGGTTGACCTGCAGACCAGGTGACTTTGTCTACACACTGATTATAGGATGGAAAGAGGGCTCTGGACATCTATCTAAAGCTTGCATGACACACTATTTTCTGTTAGACCTTCCAGATTTTAGTTAATTTACTCTATTCCCAGTGAATGCGCCTTAGGCTAGCCAAGTTGGGAAATCTATAAACCATCTTAAGGAGAAAAATAGGCCTACACCTTTCAATTTTACTGAAATACATTAGATTAAGACATCATTTTTGGAGGAACAGAATGGAAACCCTGCAAATATCTGGCATAAGAATAGGGGCTGTTCTTTCCAACAAGCAGAGCTGGCATGAACCCCTCCTCCTGGGACAGATCATTCATTACCTCACTGACATGGCTGAGGAAACACCTTTAAAGAGTGTAGGTTGTGCACAGCTTTGGCAGGAAGCAATGGAGCATTTGCCTTTGTCCAATTCTGGTTGAAGTTCATCCTGTACTTACCACCATCTTGTGTAGCTGGGTGAAATGAAACAGTGATACCCCTCTACTTCTCCAGCAGTATGTGCCTGTAATACAAAGACGCTGCTGTAGAAGACAAGAGTTAACTCAGATTATGGCCAAAAATTCCATATGCATTAATTGCACCTAGGAAGTCATCTCAGATGCAGAGACATGATATGAGTCTGTGACGATGCTCCGTTTTCATATGGAGGAAGTGCAGCTACTGGTGTGAATCCAAACCTGGCTAATTTTGTAATGGAAGACTAACAAACAATCCTTTATTTTGTTCTGTAGATGCAAAAAAAATCTCTTTTATTCAGTGCTAAGATTCAAATATTTATAAATAACTATAAATCCAGGCCCATTGATGGCTTAATCTCAAGTAGTGAACATTTACCTGAGTCTCCTCTCCACTGAGGTCATGTCTCCCAGTACTTCCATCTCCACTTCCCTAGATTTTCTTTCATCGTTCCTCTTTCCAATAATATTCCAGTGTTCAGAAGTGACACACTACACGTGAAGCAGCACTGTTACCTACATGGTACAAATACGTAAATTGCTGGCGTAAACAACGCTCCGTACTGCATTCAGCACTTTCGGTGTGTCCCTACAGCTCTGAGACAACCACGCACTGGTATCAGGCCCTACACGGAGGATCAACAACTGTATGGTTTGTATCAAACAAGGGTGACTGTGAAAAACAACATTCCCCTTTCTGTCCCTCACCTACAACTGCCCATCATCACTTCCTTCGTTCTCTTCGTGTCTGTCTGGAGATTTTTATGGCCGCAGCACCTTCCCCAGGGCCTGCAGCAGCTGCAAGGCTCCATTTCCCACGCCACTCTTTACGGAGTTCTTTCACTTCTCACCATACTGCCCCCTGACACCTGCTTAAGATTTCGATCCCTCAACACAGTTGATGAGGTTAGTAAGATACCTGCTGATTAACTGGCCAGTAAATCTAGGTTTTCAGGTTTTAATAGTGAATAACAAAGAGATGAGTTTTGATTTAGTCAGCTACTTCAGCTGGAATTCATCTACTGTCCTTATTCTCCCTGGGTTCCTTTATCACAATGAGGGCAGTTATAACATATATTGGTTTTCCAGTTTCATTAAGACTCGTAATTTTGTTCCTTTGTCTGTCTGTCTTCCTACACGCTGTTTCTACAAACCACCAACCACTTTGATGCTTCCAATTTTCTGTTTCATTCTTTTTTGAAACTGGGTTCATGAAAAGTTTCTAGCCAGTTACCTTGGCTTTGTTCTTTTCTATTGATTATTCCAGCCCTTTTAGCACATTCCAATTGCTTTAATGTACACTGGAGTTATTTTTAGGAACTTCCATTTGCATAGTCTCCTTTCTCCACTAATAACCCTAAAGCCATGAATAGACCTGGCTGCACAACCTCCCTCAGATTCATTCTATTCTATACTGTTGGCTTTATCAAGAGGCTTAGATCTGAGCTAAGTCCATAAATCATCTGCTGTGTATTGATGCTGTGATTACAAATATTGGCATTCTGTCACCAAATATAAGGAAGTGAAACTGGTCATACTGGGTTAGAAAAAGATCTATCTAGGTCAGTACCCAGTCTCCAACAGTGGCCAAGACCAGACAGTTAGGAAATGAAGGGCACATGAAAGGGCAGGCGCATACAGCACCTCTCCTAGGTACTCTCTTGGCCTCCATCTATTTGCTGCTTGGGAACTTCATCAGCCAGAAAAATCTCAAAGGATTTTTCTTCCATGAACTTGTCCAGCCTTCTCCTGAACTCTTCCCCATGCTTCACCTTACAACACATGTACAATGAATTAGTAATGCCACATGGTAAGTAAGATCAATATACACTCAAAATGCCACTCAGAAATATTAATTCTGAGTAGAATCCCATTTTTAAGTGTAATATTTATAAACAGAATGGGATTAGTTTCTCGGTTTTAATATATACAGGGCAAAACTAATCAAAACTATTTATTACTGTCTAGTATGAGAAAATACATTAGCACCATCGATGTGTTTTGATTCCAAATGCCAGCTTGTAACTTAAAAATGTTTCAGTTACAACAGCCCAGCCCTGTTGAGACAATCACAGTCTCAATGAAGCTAGGATTTCAGGACGTATTCCTGCATGTAAAATCAGAGAGGCTCCCCACTGGAGGAGATTTTAAGGACTTCTTTGCTGCAGAGTCTTCTGAATCCCAGTGAAGGGTATCCAATCAGAGTGGCCACCTGAAACGCCCTCCAACAATCCTCTCCCACTAAAAGTGGAATTTCAGCCCCTCCAACTCTGCTTCTTGCTTCATCAGAGCTCCTACCAAATGATCCCTTGTCTGTGCTTCCTCCCACTGTCAAAAGGACCAGGTAGAGAAAAGTCAAAGAGAACAACCCAGGTCTTGCCTTCACAGACGACTGCCCGGTCATCTAAGGCCGTGTATTTCTTTCTTCAACGGCTAAATAAATTCCTCAAACCTTGTAATCAACTAAAGATTAAAATAACATGAATCTCTTCATGCTCTTCACAATAACATTTAAACAGACATACTATAACTACTCAATACTACATTTTCCCTGGTGTGCTGGATATCAGTTATCTATTCAAACTGAACAAGCATAAACTTCCCCTAATGAGGCTGTAACACTAGAATCAGAATCATAGAGTGGGTTGGGTTGGAACGAACCTTAAAGATCTTCTGGTTCCAAGCCCCCTGCCATGGGCAAGGACGCTTTCCACTAGATCAAGTTGCTCAGAGCCCTGTCCAACCTGGCCTTGAACACGTCCATAGATGGGGCATCCACAACTTCTCTGGGAAACCTGTTTCAGTGCCTTGCCACCCTCTGAGTGAAGAATTTCTTTGTAATATCTAAACTAAATCTACCTTCTTTCAGTTTAAATCCATTGCCTATGCCTTATCACTACATGTCCTTGTAAAAAGTCCCTCTCCAGCTTTCCTGTAGGCCTCCTTTAGGTACTAGAAGGCTCCTATAAGGCTTCCCTCGTGCCTTCTCTTCTCCAGGCTGAACAACCCCAACTCTCTCAGCCTATCATCATAGCAGAGGTGCTCCAGCCCTTGGATCATCTTCGTGGCCCTCCTGTGGACTCGCTCCAATAGGTCCATGTCCTTCTTGTGTTAAGACCTTCTTAAGAGAATATTTTGTGTTTGCACAGGCAAAAAGAAAATGGTTACTGGAATTCATTTTGGACTCTATGTCTAGTTTCTTATACTTTCACATTATTTTTCCTCAGATATTTCTTTGACCATTTCTACGTCATACACTATTTACGTAAGACTGCCCAGAAATATCTAGTGTTCTTAACCAATTATTACTTTGTCTCCTCCAAATCCTTACTAATATGGCATATTCTTTAAACATCATGCAGGAAAAAAATACACAGAGCACATATGTGGTTTCAAATACCTAAGAGGCAAAATACATTAAACTGCTACAGAAAAAAAAAACAAATTAGTATTTATACAATAAGCCAACAGAGTGTTAAACTTCAGTATGAATAGCAAGCAAATAGAACTGAGATCTCAAAGGGCGAGCTGAGAATGAATGGTTCACCCTCAAGATGTGACAAATATTTGCTAAATTTTCTATTTGTTTTAGAAACGTGTGACAACTGCTAGGACAGAATTGTACAGCCATCAAAACATTGGATCTGTTCAGATTTCTATTGAGATGTAGTCATTAGAAAACAAAATAGGTATACCCATGACTAAGTTCAAGACATACGATAGTGTTACCACAGACCAATGTTTTTCCACCCTGTAATTTGCAGATTCCTGATGATCCTTATACTCCTGCTAAGAGGGCCAGCAAAAGGTGAGAAAAAAGCCTATAGGCAGAAGCCTTACATTCGCTGCATGGAAGGATCACCTCCACTGTAAAATTTTGAGTTCATGTATCAGAAAATATTCAAACCCACTGTGGGTGGGTGTATCAGCAATGGCGTTTTAGTAACTTCATTGCTACAAATTTCTTCATGAGTATAGGGAATCCCTAGATTACCTCAGATAAAAACGTGCTTATGCAGGTAAGACATTCTGTAAGACAGCTGGCAGGCTTCAAAAATGACTACATAAATATGACACCACCAAATATGACGCCCTTTTCCTCTGTGGAGCTTCTCAAGTTTGAGGGAATACAACCACAGCATCTCAATCTGATAATGAAATGTATTCCAGATGTGCAGAGTAAGTGAGCTACAAAACCAAAAATCAGATTCTGGAAATCTTCTTCAATTTCCAGAGTTATCTTCCAGAGTTCACTTTTACCTTTCAGCTGCTTTTGTAATCACATTTCGTTGCTGTGAAAATGCTTAAGCTGAAGTTGCAAAGTGCAGCACTGATGTAGGCTGCCAAGCACTTATGATTGGAAACTACTCGGAAAAGGAAGCAACGTGATCATCAAGTGAGGTCAAGCAGGTGCAACTCAACAGAGCTCAGTAAACGAGTCTATTAATGACAAACAGATGGGGTAAGAAGCAGTCACTCCATTTAGCTGCACTGGTATTACAGGGTTAACAGAGGTAAAATACACAAATCTCTCTTTACAACTCTGTAATTTGCTCTTTCAAAATATCTCCTTCAGATACTGCTCTGATTAGCAAACAGATTTCAGTCTTCACAATCACACTGAATTGAAATTCACTGTCAATATGTAACAGGCTGTATTGCTGTATCAGTTTTAGATGCAGCTACATAACTTTCAACTTACGCTTTTAATACTGCTTGCACAGGAGTGGCACATAAATCATTAAAACACGTTTTACAGATTAAGGAACTGAAAACTAACTGTTAATAGTAATATTTTGCCAAATATTATTACAGTGAGGCAAAATGAACATTTTTTACATTACATCTTTACTGTTATCATGTTTCTCCCAAGAACAAGACCTTATAGCTTACTAGTTCTTGATCTGGCTGATAAAGCCACACAATGACCACCAGGTAAACAGATAACTACGGTCCGTATCACTGTTAAAACCACGCTTGCTCTTTGCAGTTTAGCAGTAGGCACAGCCTAACATTAGTCTCGCACTTTCCTGCCATTACAGTACTACAAAAGACCAGGTAAAGATGGAGGCCAACCTCACTCTTCTCTAGAGCCTAGTCCAGAGCTCTTTTAGGAGAACTCGTTTCTCTCTTATACAGCCGAAGCAGTCCAAATGCTGTCAGGGAATAAGACAGGCTGAAGTAGGTCAGTCCAAGGTTTTCCTGGTTTAACAATCCAGCGGCTGCATGCAAATCAAGACTGAAGACGAAATACACAAGGAGTCCGCATAAGATAAAGTATGGCACAAAACAACAATACCAAGCTCATTTTCTTTTTTAGGACTATGGCTGACGAGAACAGCTACAGCATCTCTACAGCAGCTCTGTTCCCTAGTCATTAGTTTCTCCTGTGTTAGTTTCACCAAGCCTAGATGCAATACACCATGACTATTCCTATGTCATCTCATAGCAGGGGAAAAAAATAATCAAAAAAATCAGACTTTTTCAGGATTGGCAGCTTTGACAACTTCCTGGTTTAATGCACAAGAACTATGACCAATCTAAGAAATATCTTCAGTTTTGTGACACACCAGCTTCCTAATGGATGCTTACTATCATCTCACCTTTTTTCCTCCCTCAAGCTGCCTTTTCTCTAGATATCGATATAATATTATCCATAAGGAAAAGTAACAATTGGAATATGTGCTTCTTCAGCAGGCTTTCAGTTTTCCCATAATTTTCTCTATTGTTTCAGCAATATTAAACTCACAAGACTTGATTAAAAAAAAAAATTCAGTCCAGCTCTATGAGATGGTGTACAACCGTGGCACTCTGGATGGCCATATGCAGTGGTTCCATCCCAAGATACACTCCTAACCCCAGTACTACTACCAAGTTTTGTGAAAAAATCTCCAGAAGCAGCCCATACAGTTTTTCTCCAGTTCTTATGCAATAGGAACCTAGACATGGAGCTTTTAATTTTTTTATGTCTTTTATGTGTATGTCTTTGGTAAGGAGCAATGAGCTTATCCTGAATACTATAAGTGAGAACAGAAACAGGCAAGTTATTGTCAGGGTTGTGATAATCTTGAAATAATTTTATTCAGCGGCACCTAAACAAATCATTCCAGAGAGATCCAGCTGGGTTACAGAAACCTGCAAGTATTTAGAGAGGATGAGACAACTATGAACTAAAGATGACACTGTGTCTTCTTAAAAATTGTCCACAAAATATTGCATTTAATAGTTTCATTAATTCCAAAAAACATATCAAAATGTCAGATCATATATACAATAAATTTTTTAAGAATGGATCACTGATATTTACAGATGTAGACATTTTACATGTAGAACTTGGTCTCCGCACTCAATTAAAACAGCTTTGACATTCAGAGCCTTTTCATACTGTACTGAGAAGATGGTTTTAAGACAAAATAAAACAGTCATTCATTTTCACTGAGGTGTACGTAAAGGCTGCTCTTTTTTATTTTGCAAACTAAAAAGTACTTTAAATATAGCAATTAAGTCCTGGAAACTTCCATTTAAATACAACACTTCTACAGTGTAAATCCACCATAAAAGAACGGTATTAAAAATACATCAGAACTGTTCAGCAAAACATCTGGACAGATATTTGGTAAGTTATGATTTTTGTTCAGCTGTCATCAGCTTTCTCTTGAAAGATGGAAGTATTTTCTGTCACCAGTCCACACTCATCAGATTCAGGTTCTAAATTATCCAAGTAGAATGGAGATCAATTTTGCCACCACATGTACATTGAGGCTGTTTCCCAGAAGACGGTAGCACTGCTTTATCGTTACTTTGTCAGGAAAGCCTAAAACAAAAACATATAGTGCAACGTCATTGGGTTTCTTCCTAGCTTTTAGTCTACTCCTTGTTTCAGTGAACAGCTCTTAAGGCATTTATCACAGATTGCGGCAGGGTTCACCCCCCCACTAAAATTCACAAAGTTATCAAAATAATTCCCCACCAGTTCATTGGATTTGGATCAGTTCTTGCATGGGCAGTACTGCCATCCCTAAGGTTTAACAAGAAGCCTCAAAACATTGGTCTATTGTGTAACTAACACCGATCTACCTTCTCTCCATTCAGCAGTCTCAGTGAGGAGCAGCAGCACCTGAAACACTGCACAACCGTTACTCTAGAGAACATCCAGAGAGGAACATGGCCACAGCAGAAAGAAAACGCGATGATTCTGCAGATGGACTGCGTTTCTCAATAGGCTTCATATTGTACTTTCAACCTGAGCCCCTCTAACCCGTTGAGGCAAATCAAATGAGTCTCACAGTGCAATATACCACTGGTGCAGATTAAGCTATGAGCACGGCTTATTCAGTGAGTGATCAAGCAGCTGAACAACTTCCCAAGTAATTCAATGCTGACCCTCCGAAATGCACCCAGAAATACAGACGGCATCCAAAATGTCCTTCACATGGTAAAAGCACAGACTGGCAGAAAGAAGGTTGGCCCAGAATTTAAACTGGTCCAGGTATTGTGAAAGGGTTCTGTTGTGTATTGAGCACAAAAAGGTGGCCACACTTCTGAGAACGAAGAAGTTGCCAACAGCCAGCTGGTGTGCTTTAACTGTCCTAGCTTGCACTCTTAGCTTACTCCGGCTGTGACCTAAAGTGCATTTGCTTTCACTTCAGTGAAAGATGAACAGCACTGGTGATTGAACCACTAGGGCCATTTGCTAAGCTGCTGAAACTTGATCACACTGAATTTTGATCATTTCCCAAGAAGAAAACCTAACTTTGAGCCCAAGGTCATCACCACTCAGATTAGCTTTGATGCTACACACATTGTGTAAACATATGATATGTGTGATATATATGTTCTGAAGTTTTCATAGCAGTTCAGAAAAATCCACTTTTAGGGATTGCTCAGGAAAGAACATGGTTGGACAGTTGCTGAGCCAAGGGTAGAAAGGAGGAGGTGTCTGGGAGGAGTTGTTCCATCCTTCTCTGCCAGTTATTAATGCCTCTAATGTGGACTGCTTTGGTAAACACATCTTCTGCCAGCTCCATCCACTCTGCCCAGCCTCCTGGCGCTCACATTTGAGCAACCGTTCTCTCTTTGGAACAATCACTTGCACTTCCACACATACTTTCTTAGATGGAGTTTTCACATTAAATCACTGAACAAGGTACTGAAGCTACACATTTTAAAAGAGCATATAAAAATACATATAAATATGTAAAGAATATAAATATACTTTAAAAGAGTATATGAAAATAATATAAATATTAAGAAAAATATGTACTTATGCACATGCGCATGTGCACTTATAGCCCAAGAAGCTTATCTGAACTCTGAAAATTTCACTTTCTCTTTCTGCCTCTTGGCAACTGAAAGTATGAATTAATTTTCAGGGCTCACTGTTTCCTTTATCCCAAGCCTCCTCCATGTGCCTGTTAACATTACCTTGCACCTTCTATCTTATTGACTCAAGACTAGCCTACATCAGGAGGGCAGATTTAACAACCCATAGTATGCTGGCACTTTCTGCACAGCTCTCACTCTATCGTTTCGGTTATGAATGCTACTTGATGATGTTGCAGTCTTGGCAACACGCATTACCACATTGTGCTGGCCTTCCACTAGGCTGCCATTTGTTTCCTAATAGCTTACATATATCACTAACAGGAAAAATGGAAAAGGCATCCTGACATCACCCTCATGAAAGGAGGTCGCAGGTGCAGGAACGCTCCAATCACTTTTAATGAAATTGCTGTGGGACCCACAGTAGCGACTAAGACAAACGACTGCAGTATTTCATTGACCTGTAGTGCAATTACTATTCATACATCTAGATGTTAAAAGCACAAATAAATCAGTTAATGTTAAGAATGAACAACGATTTTAACTCTGGACCTCACATATTGGAAAAGACCATTAATTTGTTAAAATATAGAACTATTTAGAGACAGTCATGTTTCTTCTGATAGTACAGTAGCTGCAGCTAGTAACAGCATCTGTTACAAAGCTTCCTGACATTCTCTTCACTTCATTTTCAGCTTATAGTTTTTTCATTCTTTAGCTTCTTGGATCAACAACATATTTGCAATGGGTACATCTCCAAGCTTTCTGTTGTTGAAAATTTCAGCCCAAATGTTGCTGTCACTACAGAACACAGGAGCAGAGAAATAGCACATTTCTCTCTGAAAATTCCACACTTCTCAATAACGACTTGAAATTTAACATGGGAGAAGTGCTGTCAGAGAAACACACTTTGCTGTAGCCATAAATATAGCAACTTTCAGAAAAAAAAAAAACCATAGCTTGCAAATCCTTAAAAGAAACTTAGATTATAGTACCTATCACCAAAGATTTCAATAAGCCTAGAGCTGAGTAACGCTTATTTTAGGTACAAAGTGGGACATGTCTTAAACACAAAGGAAAGAAATGTCAGACTTGTGACTCAGTGCACTGGGAAAAGCTTGTTCCGCCTATGAATCAGGGGTATATGTGAGAGGAAGCCACTGGATGACAGAGGCTTGTTTTATGCCTTGTGGAAGTTGGAAAAGCAGTATAGCGAGGCAGGGAACTGCAAGAACTGAAGGAAGGTCCCGTTATTAGGGCAGAAGGGTACTGCCCTCTGAGAGGCGGAGTCGAACCCTGTCCCTCCCTTCACAGTTCTCAAGTGGCAAAACACAAGTTTGCTAAACGAGCACTTAGTAGATGGTGATGATCTGGATGCTCCTCAAATTCAAAAGCCTGACTTGTCTTGAGCGATCAGTTCTGGTTTGCAAAAATATTGAAGCCTCACAGCTGCCCCTGAAGATGAGCTCTGAACAGAGAAAGCACGCTATCATTCCAAGCACTCTGAAACAGTAAAGGTCAGATTTTAATTAATTGCCCTAAATTAATGGAGTCTTCCAAACATAAATTTCTTCATTGTCTCGGTTCTTCCTCTGTAAAATATAAGCAATATTAACCCTACTACATCTCTCAGTGATGTTGCAAAGACTGATTTAATATTTGGAAAACACACGCTGTATTCAAAAAGAAGAGAAAATGGGCAATTCTATGCTAAAAAGAGATCTCGAACAGCATGGTAAACCTATACAAGCCCAATCCAGCCCTGTTTAGCTCAAGTTTCTTTACATCGGCCTACGTCAATACGGAACAGAGGTACGCTAAGAAAAAGGCTGTCTGCAAAAAGAACAAATCTATTAAAGAAAAGAGGCTATGAAAAAATCCTGCATGTTGGTGTGTAACTCAGAACACTCCTGCAAATACTCTTAAACAAGTAAGCTTTAGTGCTGGGAACTAACATTGAACTTCGCAATCTTGATAATGCTCTTTGAATGTAGTAATTTTGAATATAACTAAGTACTAAATGAGAAAACTAAAACAGCAAGAGAAATAAATATACAAAAACTACTAGCACTCCTCAGAACTCTAAGTCACTGAGGAAGTCAAAGAAAAATATAACAAACTACTCAAGGTCAGTGGTGTCTTATTCTATGGATGCTTGCGTTGCTGAGAGACAATAAATTGATCTGCTGTGGCGGTCGCAGGCCAGGCTCTTTAGCAGGTAGTAACAGCTCCACTTTCTTGCCTGCCTTTCTTTTCTTGTGTTTTCTTTACAAGGGGAATTCTGGTGAATTTTTTCAGGCTTATTCTCGGTCACCTGTGTCCAATGTACTGGTATTGCTGAGTCTTGCTCTTTGACTCCCTCTTCTCCACAAAACCAGTTAGAAAATGAAGTAACTGACCAAGGGCTAGGACTGCCTTCTCTAGAAAATAGAGATGACTTAAAAGATCATTAACTGAAGAGTCTGGTTACTCCTGAACAAAGAAGTATCTGTGTCTCCTGAAATTCCCTTTCTGTCAGCAGCTGCAAACGTGTGGAAGGGAGAAGGCAAGCAGCTCAAACACTGAGAACCACTAACAGAGCTCCTAAACTGGCAGTAAATAGTTTCAACTCTAAACAAAAGTATTCCTTCATTTCCATTCCGTAATAGAGCATTTCTCATGCCAAAGCTTTCTTCTTAGTTTATGAAGACAAACCTAACCACAGAAGTTGGCTCTTATAAAAACTAGTGGAAATTCAGAGAAATTCAGAGTTAGCCAAATAACAAGAATCAATCATAAGAAATGGATGGAACTAGACAATCTTTGAGGTCCCTTCCAAGCCTAACCATTCTATCATTCTATGAGTGACTGAAAAAAAAAAAAGGCAAAATAAAAAGCATGGATTAGTCCCCAGTAAAAAACCCTACACTGGAATTTCTGAAGAATGACGTAGAAATGGATACTTTGCAGCACATACCAAATTCTGGAGGAAATCCATGAAGATTTGCTATTTCTCTTGGCGTAAAGTATCTCAGTTTTAGCGTTGACAATTTCATAAGCTTCTCTTCTTCTGGTAGCTCCTCAATGTGTTTAAACACTGATTCAAGCTATGAAGAATATCCAAAGAAACAGATATTACCGATGCAGGCCAAATAAGGAAAATTTAACACTCGCATCTTAACAGAATTATTCTTTGATTATCACAGTGCCAAAGACAATAGTGTGCTTTGCTTGAAAGTATGACTGCTGGTGTATTTTTGCAGTCAATATCTCAACACATGGACTTGCACAAAAGAAATCAATGTTGCCATGAAGGCACTCATCAATCCACCTCCAGTTACAAGCTATACAAATACTTCACGAGGCAATCAAAGGACTATAAACATTTGTTTATAGTGACAAGGATAGTGACGTAATATAACTCAATAGCAGACCATCCGCACAAATTAAGCTGTATGGATGCAGCTGTTTTAATGCATTCACTTTGAGATTACCCTGAGTTCCAAAGCTGCATTCTTCTTATGCTTAGAAATGCCATATAATATCAGTGAACAGCACAGAAGTGCAGGAAGCAGCGCTTATGTACAAAACAGGCTTTGTGAAAAGCATCTTTGACGATTCACCAATACATTTACTTTTACTTTGTCCAATGCCAAAATACCACTTTGTGTGAACTTAGTGTCAACAGAAGAACTTGTCAAAATACTGTGTATTCCCAGATAAATAATACTTTTGAAGTTCAAACCTGCTAAACATTTGACAATATTTACTGGATCATCTGTGTACAAAAAAAGGCCCTAGATTCACGACACTGTACTGTAGTTTATCCATAGAATTAGTCATTTTTAGTATTTTCATATACCCCTGTGAAACCTGTTTGCAACACTACAGATAATAAAATAATAGCAACTCATATTCTCCACAGAGACATACATATAATCTTGATTTAAATGAACTGTCATTTAGGAACATAAAGTAAATCAATTGGAAACTCAGCTGCAAAAAATGTAGTTTTAAAAGCCTTTTTATTATAATATTCAGAATAATAAAGCAGAAGACAGAAAAAAAAAAAGTTTTAAACCAAGTCATTCTCACATATTAGTCTACATATTCTTACCTGTACATCTACTGCTGTCTGCAGAACTGAGCCTGTCCCTTCTACGTAGTGTCCATACCTTAACAACAACAATAACGATCTTAAATTAATATTTTCATCAGACCTCATAGTACTGACAACTGCAAAGATGCTGGGAGGTTACTTTGGTTCCTTTGTTTTGATTAACAAATCACCTCCTGGATAGATAAAGCAAAAGGCCTTGTTATTAATAACACTAACCCTTGGTGTGCAGCAGCCTCTGAACATGCTCTCTGAGGATGAGTCTGCAATCAACACACAAAGGTTTATCCACACAAATGCCTTATATAAGTCAATCAGGTAACTATACAAAGGCAAGGAATTCAAGCATAGC